GAGATTGACAGATTGTGAATCATGGGGCGCTATCCATTTAATGGTCTGACCGGTCAGACCTGAATTTTTGTCTCTGTATCAATGGAAAGATCTGGTCTATGTTTCTCAAATATCTAGCGAAAATGGACCTCATTCTAATTTTATCTAAATTTTCCGGTCGGATAGGTCCGAAGCCCAAACGTTTTGTGTTCCATTCAACAATTTGACCGTTAACCGGTCTGGCCGTGTTAATTGGAAAGCGCTCATGGATTTTCGACTGTCACGGTTTTCGAGGCCTGGTAACTAGCCGGCCGAAGGCGTGTTTTTACCAATCTCGTGCCCAGTTGTGCCCAGAGCAATGCCTGTGCGCGGGCTAAGAAGGCATTGGCTCTGGGGAAATTGAAAACCGGAACCCATAAATTTAGGGGTTCCGGTTCTTTGTCGGCATGCACTATTGATAAACGTTAACCAATCACAGCACAGGAAACATTCCATTTCCCCAGAGCCAATGCCTTTCTTACCAGCGCTCAGACATTGCTCTGGGTACGAGATTGTGTTTTTATTTAAAATAATTATAATTTATTTCTTCACTTGCATTCTTTTAAAATAATTTTCCAATTCAGACACAGTAGCAATTGAAAAACCTCGCATTGAGCAGGTTTTACCAGGGCGCTATAAAACACGGGCGGTGAAACGGAGATAGCGCCCCTGATCTTTGTGTGATGCGCGTACCCCCCGTATACATTAATTTATAATGTCAATAAAAATGGAATTGGAATGTTTATTGCAAAAGAGCTGGAAAACTAAAGTAAAAAATGTTTTCTGCACATTCCTAAACAACTTGATGGTTTGAAGACATTGTTGGATTCATTTTCTGTATATCTAATGAAGGAAAAAGAGTTTTAAAGATTCATCATGAGCGAAATAAAAATTTGAAAAGGAATCGAGCTGATCGAATGTGGGCATATTCCAAATACGAAAATTTTGGTATGAAATGGGATATTTTACTTCATAATGCGAAGGTAGGATAAACATTTTCACAGTAAGAATATTCCGACATTGCTTGGCTACTATTTTTCGATAATCGTATAGCCCAAAATTGACCATGCATGCATTTAAAACAACTACAATTTGATAAAAACAACTACAATTTGCTCGACAATTTGAAAACTTAAATATATAACCGTTTTTGTGTTAACCAGCCGGCATGCTCGGAACCATTGAAAGTTCATTGTAAAATGTTTTTTACTAATTGATTTGATTTCTATTATTGGTATAACTGCCGCCGACACTCCAAAAATATTCAGCGTGAATCTTTTTTCGTGCGACTGCAGTCGTTGACATGATATACAGTGACAGTGTTACGGAAAACTATAAAGGCTGCAAGATATCTCCGTTTTATGAAAAAAGCCCCGTTCAATTTTACTTGAGCCATAAAGCCAAGTTAAATGTCTATAGTTTGGCGTGTTCAAATTTATCTCAACCTATCTCAACGAGGAGAAAACACTATTTTAAATACGTCCGCGCTTTGTCAAAAAAGAAAAAATGTCGTCAAAATCGAGTTCAAAATGCATGTCTTTTCCTCAACAATCGCTTCGTTCATTTTGCAAGTGAAATAGATACCAATTTTAGCAATATAAGCTGATACTAGATACTTCAATAAACATTTATAGTAT